CTCCATAGCGTCGATTCCGATGGCACCACATCAGAGTTAATCTGGTAAAGTGAAGCTTTGCATTGCTGGGAGACTAGGTTCACTGGAAGTTACGCCGACTAAACTGCGCTGCTTTTTCCAGATTTTACCAATAGCATCGCGTCATTCCGAGATGAACTTCTTCTTGTCAAGAAACACTACTTGAATACACGAAGTCACCCTGCAACATAGAAACAAGCACCGCTAATTCGACTAAACATTAGCCTCCGATCTGTTCAAACGTTTTTTCAGGAGATCCATGGCGAGTCGATTTGTTAATGCCAGAGAGGCACGGCGTTCTCTTTACAACCTCTCTCACAATATTTTTTTGCGCTTGATAGTCGTCCACACGTCCACCTCAAGACAAGTAGCCACAGGTGTGCCTGGATTAGGTTTAGGCTGCGGCTACTGTTGGAACCTGCTTGTTCGTTCGCTTCCAAATTTGCCCAAATCTGTGACATGTAGCTTGCACCCTTCTTCAGTGGCTCTATCGGTGCAGTAGGTTCCAGGGTACATGAGGTGAAGGCAGACAACACCTCCTGCCGAGATGCTTGGCGTTCTATCGGCTACTAATTGTAAGTCCAGTAGTGTGCCAGAATCTCTGTATGACCCTTTCAAGTGGACGAAAAGGTACTATTGCACTAGCTGTGGGAAAAATTATTTACTCGGGCGGAAAAGAATTTTGGGTGGTCCATTGAGGCTAAACATGTGGAGTGAACCGCGCGAAACTAGAAGGATTACCTAGCATGAGCATGCGCGATACGAGCATTCTGCGGGTCCTTGGCTACTGCTTCTAAAGGAAATCACGATGATGAAAACGTCGAAGGCACTTCGATTAGTCGGTTTCCTAGTGATCTCTATCAGCTTTTAGTGCACCGAGCATTACCTCCACAGTCATGATTTCTCATTTTTGTAACAGACGTCTTCGAGTATGTCAAACTGAACACAGTTCAGAAACGTAATGTGGAAAGCTATCTCTGACTCATTTTCATAAAAAACTGACTCCCAAAAACCCTCGATCAAGGTTTATTCGGAGTTCACTGTTGCGACAGATCTTGGACCATGCAATGGAAGTCAGAACAAACCTTTCTCATTCAGTTCTTTGCACTTTTCTGATTTCTTTTTAGCTCTTCTCCAGCATTCTCTTTTTAGACCAAAAAGAGAAGCTCACAGAAAAAGCGGCGCATGACTCGAAGGATTTCAATGACATTGAAAGCAAGACCTACGATGATATCCCACCGAGGCCTTCAGCCAGAAATCATGTAAGGCTTTTTCAAGTTGTAAATTCGTGCAACAACTTATTACCAGTAATGCAGTGGAACACAATTATGATGCTAAAAAAGAACAATCCATATCAATCGTTTTTTCACTGCCTCTTGCCTCTTTATTAGTCAATCTCGTTACAGATGAGCATGATTGATTCACTGAAATTGCCTCGGCGAAAACTGTTGGACACAGGCACACAAAAAGCATATTCTGTTGAGAATGTCAACGAGGCATGTAATCAGTGCATCATAGCTTTTCTACTTCTTATTTAAGGAAACGGGTTTTAAAATAGATTGAATCTGACGGTATTCGCTAAGTTTCAGGCGAGCGGCCATGTTGGTGTGCTATTGAAAACGGACAATGCTGCAGGATTTGGCATGAACATCCAGGGCAGTATGAACGAGGGCATTTACGTAAAAACAATCGTCCCAATGGGAGCAGCAGATCAAACCGGTAACATTCTTCCTGGTGAGTGTTTTTGCGAATCGAGATGCACCTAGGCACCTCAACGATCCTAGCAGATCAGCATCCAGATGATCATATCACCGGCGGAAGGTAGAATCCAAAGTGCCCCAAGGTGGTTAGTGGCTTTAGAGGCTGATATTTTTCTTATTTCCGAATCTCGCTTGCCTCGTAGTAGCTGCCAACATTCTGCATGAAAGATTTTTATGGCGGTGGACAAGAGAAACCCCACACACACCTCTCGCTTAGCTTCGAAGCTTTCGTTGTAGGTTGTACATTTGAACAAACTGTTTTATTGGTAGGAAACCTAGTCGAAGACATAAGTTATGCTTCCTTCTACAAACAGCGATAATCGAGAACTACACCAAAAGGGATGAGTGGCAATATGTCGCTAGTGTGTGTTTCGAGCTATCGTGCTCCTTACAAAGCGTAGTGACTTGGGCCCTCTGACCCTCTGCCCATTCGCATATGCATGTCAAAAACTGCATTTGATTACAGGTGATCGCATCAAATCTTTGACTATAAACTTCGACAACATGGTATATGAAGACGCGTTGACGCTGTTGAGCTACGCTTCCCCGTACAAAGTCAAGTTTGAGCTTGAACGAAGAGTGGAAACTCCGCCACCGATGGATAATGACGACACGTGTGAGTGAAGACTTTTGTGAAAAAAATCATTCCGACTACAATGAAGTGACAAAAGTCTAAGAAAGACAGTTCGACTTTTCACCAGTCATTCATAGTTTCTCTGAAAAAGGGCATTGGAAGAGAATCTATTTTAAGTTTGGTGTGAATGTCGGGGATGTACAAATGGTTGCGGATTGTTGCCTGAAAGCAAAGCATGTATGAAGTTTTTCTGCTCTGAACATCGGTAGGAATTTTAGGAGATTTTTACAGCGAATAGTTTGGGACGAGTCCTTCAAAACTTGCCGACTTGTCTTCTTGAGGTTTTTGATGCCGACGAGCGATTTTTAAAGCATATATGTGTGTGTGATGCTCGATACACTAGAAGTTGTATTCGACAAAATTCCCTTCATCCATTCTGGATGGATGTTGCTGTAAACCTGTATATTTGGAGACCATAAGTTTTCGCCTAATTTTCAATGTTGCTTTTAGCAGGTGCACGAATCCATCCATTGTTCCGCAGCAACACCTTAACACACATTCACTTCAACCCGATCGGGTATGGTTTGTTCAAGATGATCCTGTTATTCCCATGCTCACCTTACTCTTGGCATTACAGAGCAACGCAAGCCTTGTCTTTCGAAAATCCTACCCACCAAGAACCCACACTAATTGTGGAAGAAGAGCCAGTTACGGAAGTTGAGGAGCCGCCGGTTTATGAAAAGAAAGAGGAGAAAACTCGTGAGCCCGAACCAGAAGAAATCCTTTCGCCAATAAATCCGCCGGAGCTTGTGTCGTCAGCAGTGATCAGCGAAGTGGCAGACAGTACAACTATAGGTGAGAGTAGTTTATTTCTTTCTTGTGGAGCTATCTTCCACCTCCATTTCATTTTGTTCAAGTGCTTTTGATGCCCAACAACATTGAGAGGGTAGTGAAGTAGCTGAATCCTCTTCAGCAGTCGCTAGCAGGCGCTCGATTATATCATTTAAACCCGAATAAAGTTTGAACCTCCATTTTTTCGAGCTATTCCGTTTGGATTTGATCTATGGCTTACTCAACTTCATGAAAACGCTTCACTGAGAATAGTGAATGGCCGATTCGGTCGCTTTAATCTGACATGACGTTACCTCTTTACATTCCCTTGTGGAACCAGGAAAAACATAGCACTTCCACAATTCTCCTCCAAGTCCAAAAAGCTGATGGAACTGCTGTCAGTGAATATATTTATATTAAAGGCACGGTTCAGATAATTTTGGGTAACCAAGATTATGACGAAGAATAGAAGATAAGATGGAAAATAGTGCAATGGAGGCGAAGGAACTGCGTGGATAGGTGTTCCCGAAGTGAAAAAGGCTTCGAAAAATCGTTAAAAAGGGGGCTGAACGAGAATGAGATCAGAAGGGTGAAGAAGAGTGAGAGTGGAGCTTTTGGACGGGCTACGCACAGCGTGTTGTTGCGTACGTGTGGGTCCTGGTGCAAATATCTGACTACGGAAAGCAAAAATCCATCCGCTTGTAAGCATGAGTAAACAAAAAAAACCCAGTTACAGCGAAAATGGCTCACCTTTTCAGCCTTTTGGGGTAGGAGACTAAATAAGGGATAGCGGCAGCAAAAAGAACAACAGAGGAAAAAAGAATGGGGAAAAACATTGCCTCATCACTCGGCGATCAGTTGATTGTGTGTAGGTCCTAGAACGATTAATAGCAATCTGTGTCGCCTCGACACTCGTCTGGCGTGACATCGATCGAGAGGCGGGAAAGCGACTCAAGACAGCAACAGGGCTTCCACTATGCTCTGACTGTAGAGATTTTGGGAGCGAGAGGGATCCTTCTACCATCCGTGAGGGCCACTGAGCATTCCTAAGGGAAGAACTCAGTAACCATTTTCATCATGAACCGTGCTTAAAATAGTAAGTTGTGTGAACTGCAAAGAATGAGCTGAGAGGGCTTTTCTGGTCTGCGTCGGCTTGAACGGCTATCAGTTACTCATTCTATTATTCTTATTAATATATTAGTCATGATGAAGACCATTTGAAGAAAAGTTGAAGATACAATTACGAAGAAACATTTGGAGTAAACTCTAGGAAAACAACCAATCTAATCCCATTAGCAGATACCGATTTGTCAAAGATGGAGAGCAGCGATTATGCTTCGGACAATACGTCAGACTACCGCGAGAGTGAGAACGAAGGCTGCGGAAACGGAAACCAGCCAGCGAAAGTCGATCCTGCGCCACCTCCTCCAACGCCACCTCCTCCATCACCGCCTCCTCCTATTCAGGAGTCCGTGGTCGACTGCACTGTGGTAAGATATCACTTGATAGCAAAGCTTTCTTAAATTAAAGGAATTGTACTCTCAAGAAAAGTCATTGAAATTCATCGATCCCCGACCCTAGAAGCCCAATGACGTGAACTACCAAACTGTTTCAGACAATACCTTCTTCATGCTTCTTTCCAAAAAGACTTTGACTTGCCCTGAAAATGAAAATGTTGATTGCGAAAATGTGAAAAGAGAACAATAAGTGAATGATGACTACTTCAGGTCGGATCAACCCCGCTTGAGCCGCATGGTTGACCCTTCATTCCTTCTTTAGTAGCAAATTATTCATTTTTGACCACAAACTTTTTGGATGGGAGCCTACCAGTAAAGCAGGCACCACAGTTCGACGAGTGTGCACGGGTACCTATGCTTACTGAATCTCTAACTCGAGCCCTTCAACTGAACAGTAACCATTCATAAAAAAATTCAATCTTTCATTTCATCAGTTCTAGTAACTTTTTGAATTCTCTGAATTGTGCAAGTGGTCAATCGACTGAAGCTTCGAATGACCACTATCAGATGTCTATGTTCGTAGTCCTTTTCATCTTCAACGTGAAAGTCATCGACTGAGCTGCTCGGATTAATGATAGTCGAACTATTTGGTGGTAACTGACATCGCATTAAAGAAAATACGATGTCGAGGCTTCATAGTGAGTAAAGACTCAAAACCTTCTGTGATCTCTTATCAGGTTTACCAACTGTTATCACCTTCGGTAATTCCTCAACTGCGATAGGCTATATCACATTCTGAAGTAACAATGGAAGGAATCTGGTAGCAATTATCAATCCTGAACAGTTGTTAGTGGTACTTGTCAGCAAGCATCCTCGCTCCCGCCGTATCCTACGTTACTCTTCGAAGTGCCAGGTTTCCGCTGTTAACACGAAAGGCGCTACTTTCCCCTTTGCTGTTGCCTCCCACGGCCCCTTATCATCACTTATCACTTACTATAATTTACTTTCACCAACAATCAACGACTCTTCACACCCCACATCAATTAGAACTGTGTCAATTTTCTACTATCTATCCGAAGAGCGCGGCTTTCAATGGCACATGCCTTCTAAGGCTCCGATCCAGTGGCTCTAACCTTCTATGTCGACTTGCCAGCCTCTAGCAGTTGTTATCAATTTTTGTTATGAATTGTCAACGGTTCCCCTCCACCTACTAAGGTGCCAAGGCTCCACCGTTAGCACGGTGAACGTACCGGACTCTGCAGTTCTTGCCTTTCAGGACTTTTTATATATTCCTATCAACCGTTTTCTCTCCCTATAACCTATCATTATTGCTCTTATCCTGCCGTCTGTATCTCCTCCAAATTTGAACACAAGGGTTAAAGCGCTGATTTGATCAAAAGCTGGCCACGAAAGTCAGTGTATAGGTCACATACTCTTTCAACACGCCACCACGATTCTGAATGGTAGCCTAATGCGGGAGCGTATTCCTCAGACGGGATTGATCACCGCATGAAGTCTTTACCCCTTCATCATTCATATCCTTCGTGATCGAGATTTTCGCTGACCAACATTGTGTCGAAGCCCATGTTTCAAAATAATGCGACAATTTTTTGTCGTATGTCTCTTCCGCTCTGCCTTCGTCGAGACCGAAAATCGAAACTGGTCTGCACTTACCAGCTAGTAGCAAGGGAGTGTTCTGTCATACATCGATATCATAGAAAATTTCTTGTAGAAGTTGTAATAAACGGGAACGCTCATTCCATCTAGTTCCCACCTGAAGAATGCTTGTTTCGATATTCTCTTTACGCGGTGGTGGTGTAATGGCACTGTCACAGAACATTAATTTGTCAAACTGTGTTCTCATCTAGACATTTATGACTGATCCCTAATGGGTGTTTGAAATTTGCTTAGTTTGACCCTTGATCTTAGCCGAAAAGCCGTCAACATCATGGTTTTCCAATGAGCCCCTACTTGTGTTCAATGCTCGTCTATCAGAGAATGACTTTTTCTTGTACAGAATGATTTCAGATCACTGACTTGCCTGTGGAAAAGCCGCTCGCCTCGACTGTACCGGTGTCACCTAAAGAGTACTGCAAAGCGTTGCCGCCTAAAGTAAAACCATTAGCAATCCGGGTAATTCTTTTCTATCATCTGGTATTTGATAGTATTAAGCACTTAATTTTCATACACTTTATCAGAAAATTTGTTTTTTGCAGTCACCATCTCCCAAGCTAAAACAAGCGCCGCCAAAGGCTCCATCTCCATCTCCATTGGCGAAGAGTAGCATGTTGAGAAAAAGTCGCGAGGATTGCAGTAAACCATCTCAAATGATACCACCAGTAAAGAGGAATTTGTCGAATGGCAGAGTAGTAAGTTATGAAACCTCTAGGCTATTCAAAATCACATATACATAAGTCAATATTTTTAAGTGAGTTCAAGTAGTAAGTAGTGAGTAGCGTAAGGCATATGCAGACGCCAAAACTGTAAAAGTTTGTTAAATCCTCTTATCAGGCCCTGTTCAGGCTCCTGCACGAACTTCGGAGTCGTCATCTGGTCCACCAGAAATTGTGGAGGCGAGAGTATCAAGAATACCCAAGAGAACAGATAGCGTGAAAACACCTATCATTGAGAGAAAACTGCCTCCATTACCTAAATCCATAACACAGCGCAGTCACAGTGCAGAGGAGAAGGTGAGCAGAGAATAATTCTATCACGAAATCAGTAGAAAACTGGAGGGCTCAAATGTAAATAGGCTCTCTGGCAAGTAGGGTTGTAAGAAAAATCGCCCCTCCATTCATCTGTAGCAAGGGAAGGGTACTAAGTCGAAGTGGCCACCCGCGGTGGCATGCGTACCGAGGTATATGTATGTGCTCAGACGCTAATCTCAAACTTGCCTTCTAAACGGAACGGTTTTGGGAACAAAGTTGCTAGAGCATATCTTCGTTTGTTACGGGAGGACGAGCCCCTTCTGCTGATGTGAAGCGATGGCGCAACAGGCGAGACGATGGACTCACAGGCGTGGCATGCGAATTTGCACCACCTGTGCACAAAGTTGAACTGTTTTTTCATAAAACCTATGATGAAGCTTTGCGGAATTTCTCGAAACTTTCAAGTTATGGCGAGTGGCCGTTCTAAAATTACATGCGCTCCCTATGGGTATCGAGCTCCATTAGGGATGTGAAGACGTTTGATCGGATATTCACGGATTGGATCGATCCACTTCAGGGTCTGAGGAAGGCAATACCGGCAAAACGATGGTGGGCGGAATGCTCCTGTATTTTTGTTTCTAGAATCATTCCGCAGATTTAGTAGGCGGATTCGAGGTTAGCGTTTGAAAACATATACATACATGCGTTGGTGTACATATCATCTGATTGGCCACATCAGGAATCCTTCCCTTTAGGAGCCGGTTCTTAGGTTCCATTTGCTTTCATTTCCATGCCATTATCAAATACAAAACATATGGGAATTGAGAACCCAAGAAGTTCTTCATTTCGGCTAGAGCCGAGGACAATCGCGTCTTCCATTAGCTCATGAGAATGTGTGCCATTTTAATCTATTGTCACAATTTGCTTTTAGAATCGCGAGGATGTGTGGAGTCGGCTGTATACGGATAAAAGAAACATGCTCAGAAAGACTCGTGGCGATGTAACTCCTAAAACTCCTTCAAGTACAGATCATGAGACCACCACTACTACAACGCCACCACATTTCCCGTCATCATCTGGGCAGCTTCGTCCACCTACTGATTTCAGGTAGACTGCAATTACTTATATCGGTGTTTTTTTTGGATTTGCACGTTGGTATACTGAAAGGGAGGTAGTACTGCAAGCTTCTGAAGATTGGCTAGCATCCTTAGACTTACATTTCGGCTTCATCGCCTTAGTCAGACCATGTATACATAAACCAGAAAGCAGGGAAACCGTTTGTCCGAACGAATTTACACTTACTGCGCAAAAGTGAAGGCACAGTTACTGCTAAACTACTGTGTTAGTGAATGATAATGTTCGCTACGTTTGTGTCAGTGGCTTGGCGCATCTCCGCCACCGGAATCCAGGAGTGACCTTTTCAGGAGACACTTATCAAAAAGTATGTACTCGCGTCCCTTGACCTCTAGGATAAGCAAAGTGCACGCGATCAACAAAATGCATGAATTTGCGGCATGCGACCTCGAATTTTTCTTTCCCTGCACAGTTACGAGGATCCCTTTTCTCCTAGTGTATTAAGCCAACCCTAGGGTTCTCTTAACACTTTCATAATATCGGAGCTGTTGAGCATAGGGGGAGACGGGATTTCAATCTATCGAGTGAATCGGAAAATAATTCTATTTCTGATGATAAGAAAGGCAGTTGCTTCTGTTCTGCCTTCGTTTCTTCAGACATGACGATAAGCTGAGTTCCCGACTTCATACAATTACAGTCCCTACGTTTCATGACTACCGAACTCATTTGCTTGCCGAAACCTGAAATCACAACATCTTTCTGGTAAGCTGTAGCTCGTGAACTTGGAAAGATCTTATTCTAGATTAAAGGCAACAATTGATTAATACTAAATTGAAGGCAGAAAGGAAATTGACGACCTTCACCTACAATATGGAGGTATTAATATAATCAATCAATTAATACCTCCATATTGTAGATGAAGGTCTTCAATTTCCTTTTTTAAATCGACACAAGAAGNCCATTCTTATTTTTTCTAGAAAGATAGGCCAGTAACTATGTAGTGAACCAACCTACTGCCCCGCATACGTCAACATTTGCTTCCATCTGCACCTCGTACACCTCGCACTCAAATGTGACCTGTTTTTCAGAGGTTGGAGTTTTTACTTTCTTTGGATGATTACCGAGTTGCTGACCAACACAACAGAATGACTGCTTATTCCGCTTCGCATGGAATCTTTGGCCGCTCTACTGATGATAAATACTACTTGGAAGTCGATAAAATATAAAGGCTTACAAAGAAAATTCATCGGGCAACCTTCTGCATATTAGTACCGGACGACTAATCAATTGATCGTATTGGTTAGGTGAATGGGATGTGTTTCGCCCGATCAGTAGCCGCGACCTGGAAAATCGGCCACCGAGTTATACATCAACAACATTCACCTAAACTTTCGAGAGCGATTGAAGGGGGAGAACCACAGGGGCAATTTGGTCCCATGAGTCAATCTCTACAATAAAAAGGATAAACTTTTTGGCGTTAATCAATCCCGTCTGAGGGATGCGCCCCAGCACTCGACTTCCATTCAGAATCGTAGTGGCGTAATGAGTGCGTATGNGGCTTGGTTGGCCTAGGCGGTCATCGATCCGGGATTCGAACCCCTGACCGTGCGTGTGATATAGTGCGCCACTTGCCACTACACCACCTCCACCCTAGTCAATCTCTATGACTTATAATAATTTCAAAACTTCAATAAGTAATAGTCATCATCTATGGAGACGAATGTAGCGAAAGGTGTTCTTAGATCATCTTGAGAAACTCCAAAACTGTGCCAGTGGGCAAAAATACCAGACTAAAGATCCTAAGTGAAAACGGGTTGGACCTCTAGATGTGCGAGACAGGTTGCAATACCTATCCAACCTGATATCTCGAATAAGAATCGACCGTCGTCAAATAGAATCATTGTTTGTAAAGAGAATTTTCGAGCAAGTATGTGCAGTGCATTCGATTTCTAGCTATTGAACTCGGGGGGTGATGGGCTCTGGAGCGTCGCGCTAATCTCTTCGACAGTCTACAGAGCAAGAACTTAATAACTGTCTGCGTTGCTAAATTATCTGCATGCTTTCATGAGTTTCGTCTTCGCTTAACGGTCATTTTTTATACATGCTGCCCACTGACGAATTTCGTAAACACTCTAAGACTAATCATGGGTGAAATGAGGACATTCAACACCCACGGACAACCGTGATCTTTTAACGAAGAGCGTTTTGTATTTGCAAAAGGCATTTTGAGATGAAGAACAACCCATGAAATAGAAGACTTCCCTATCCAAATTACTAGTACCTGTCGATCTCTGACCTTTTTTTGAGTTCGTGATAGTGTGCCATCGGCACTGCTCAGCTCCCCCCATGTTCAAGAAATGCGCAAAAATAGATATGACGGCAGGTATTACGGCCCATACAGCGGTTAGCTTCCCTTCAAAGACTTGGGTTTCCAATTGTGTAGGTTTCCGGATATTCATTCAGGCTGTCACGTTACTCGACCTAAGATCTCTGAGACCTTTCTCCTAACATCGAAACTTGAAATTACGGCAATTAGAAATTCCTAAGAGGCATTCCTAGGAGGAGTCCCTAGTAAACAAATGACTATGAGAGGCAAAAGATAAAATTTCTATATTCACGCAGTTCCGTTTTCGAGTTATGCCTCCACAATCGCTTCCACTCAGACGTTTAGGGGCGTTTTGGATGTGTATGACACCCTTGAAATAAGATTCGGTGATTAGCCGATGTACGAGCCACTAATTTTATCTTACTGAACTAGTTCTGTTCCAATTGGCCGACCTCGGGGAGATGGAAGACTTGGTTGACCTAGGCGAGTGTCGAGCCGGGATTCGAACACGTAACCATGCGTGAGTGATGGTGCGCCACTTTTACGTCACCATCTTCGTTCTATACAGTGCGTCGCAAAATGATACAGCCTCCTCTAATTTTCCTAAAAACTCACAGTATATGATGTTTCTGAAAAACTGCCAAAGTAAATAATGTGTCAAATTTGAATTGCAATTC